AATTTTCCAACAAATACCAAGTTTATCACTCAACCAAAATACGCCTTAGTAGAATTTCCCAATTCCAAACTTGATTCTGAACTTGCAGAACTTCAACCCAAGATCATTCCTATACCAATCAGTGAGCAAACATTTCTCTTTGATGTTAAGGAGCTTCTTGCGGAAAATGTTGCAAAAGCCGCCAAAATTAACATAAAACCCACAAAAATCTCAATCAAGCGTAAAGCGCTTCCTTTAATTCCGGTCTACAGCATGACAACACATAAGAGTCAAGGCCAAACGCTTGGTAAAATTATCATTGATCTGGTCATGCCGCCTGGTCCAGTCGAAGTCGCATCAGTTTACGTTCCACTCTCACGAGTAAAACGGTTGGATGATTTACTGATCATACGTCCTTTTGAATTCGCAGCTCTTCAAGTGAAACCATCAGCAGCGCAGCGCGAAGAACTCAAAAGATTGGACCGAATCGCAAAAAGTACTCCAAAACGATTTCCAATATCTATGTAGAACAAACATTCTTTAACAATCACACGACTTTCGAACTAATCTTACAGCTAAAACATATTTACTATGCATTGCATGTTTCATTTGTCTTCCACTTTACCATATTCTATTAATATTTAATAAAAATTTTATGACTCACTTCTTGAAATAAAAACTGGTTACCTATACATCTTACAACCAGTCAGAAACATTCGATCGTATCAATACCTCAGACTACATACTAACATTTCAAAGTACATAATACCATAGTTTGCAAGGATAAATGAACTTCACTGTACCCATAAATATTTAGAAAACGTATACAATTTTTCATCAGATACACTTTCAAAACCTTCGGTCAGCCCTAATAAAAAACTAATTTTTTTTGTGAAAAAGTCTCTCTCTCCTAAAAAAACGGAAAAGCAAAATTTCAAAAAAATAACGACGCCATCATGTTCCCGACCCCGATTACCTTCGGTCAACCCTATCCTTGCAGGATATCGTTCGAGGTTAGTTAAGTTTATGCATCTACTTTCCTATTGGTCGAACGAACGAACGAACGAACGAACGAACGAACGAACGAACGAACGAACGAACGAATGTACAGACGAACGAACGCATTTAACTCGTTTTTCGTAATACCCTCCTTTCAGTAGAGGGAATAAAAATTTATTACGAGTTACCGAGTAACAGTAATGCAGTGCCCCTGCTCTACAGAAACCAAACATGCGGTGAAGATAATGTATACGGAAATATTGATCGTCGATTAACGTTTGAATCTGCAGAGAAATATAAATTCAAACAAGGACAATGCTTTTCATAGAGAGGATGAAAGTTATTTTGAATATGCAGGCCTCGCAGAGGTCCTTCTTTCCTACTTTTTTTCCTTCTTTTTAAGGAACGTCCTTCGTCACCCTTCTTTTTAACAAAATTCCTTCTTTTCCTTCTTTTTTTCTTTGTCTTGCAAGATGACCGTATACACACTGTAGCTTTTATTGAAATTCCAGGAATGCCAGAATCGACTTTAAGTATGGTCACTTAGTTTTTAAAATTCATGATTCGCTAGTTGATTTTCGGATTTCTATGAATTACTTGATTCTCGCAAAAGTAGAAATTCAAATTTATTCACCAGCAAAACACCATTCGTTGAAAATCGGTATTGATTTTCATAGACTTGAAAAAATCTGATTGAATTCATATAGGCATTCCTAGAATATCCTTGATTAAACTCTATAACTTATTTTCTACTTTACAGTGCATACTTCACAACAGAGAGACTACACTTCGGAGAAATAATATTCATATATCAGAAAAACCACACAATGAAACAATCATAGTTCTAGAGCGTATATTTATTATTATTTATTTATTTTCAAATTTATATATCTACAAATTTACAAATCTACGAAGTTATAAGCTCACAAATCTTATGTTCTTTTTGTACCATATTTTCGTTCATTTTTTCAATTTTTTTTCTGAGCTGATTCATTTGGTCACTATTATCGCCGAGTTGTGTTTTCAAAACATCCAATTTTTTCTTCGCACCTCCAATAAGTAGTTGTGCCTTTTCGACACCAGCAAAGTTTTTCGTTGTAACGGTAGCTCCGAGCCGTGAGTTGCCTTCATTGAGCATTTTTGATGTATTTTCTAGCTCTTCTTGTAATATCTTGCGTTGATCGATTAGATTCTGTTCTTTTTCGACCAAATCTAGTTCTTTGTTTTTATTAATTTTGCAGCAGCTACAATCGCTTCTTTTTTTCGAGTATTCGTTGTGTTATTTCTTGATCAACTTGATATCGTGAATGTGGTTTCTCTACATTGTCAAGAAGTCCTTTGCAAATTGGAACCTATAAAGTATATCAGTCACATTGATAATAATTAACTGTTACTTAATGGTCTCGCTTACTTTATGAACTTTTCCTTGTCCGTAAAATTTGACGGCATCTTTCGTTGCTCGAAGTCCGTTGATGGAGATGTCACTTAGAGATGATCGGTCGTCGGTGATTAGTGCTGCGTTTTCACTATAGCCACGTTCAACATCGGCATTACCGTGTAAAAGTGATAGAAGACTCTTGATGAGTTTAGATAATACGACAAATTTGCCAATGACTGATCTGTTTTTATTGTACGACGTTGCATTTAGATGAATTCTTTCTTTTCAATTAATTTCCTTCTCAAAATCCTTCCTTTTATCAAACCCCGCTGCGGGACCTGAATATGTTTTTACAGAGAAAAAAATTATTAGTTCTAATAATATTAATATTTCTCATGGAGAACAACACGATGATTTAATGCGTCAAGAATTTTGCTATGCGAAACGAACCTTAACATGTTTCGATCGTCATACTGTTCTTCATTATAAGTATTTATTTTTTCCCGAATCGATTTTTATTCATTCTTTATTATCTACATATAAACGGCAATATATTTTCTTAAAAATTAATTCTTATCTATGAGTATTAATATTAATTCAATTTAATAAAAATGAGTTCATTAAGTCGATTTTAATAATGAAATCATCCAATATTTCAATTTCGATGAATTTTAGACTTGAATCATTTTTATTCAGTTGAAATATTTGTTTTAAATAACTTATTTTTGTGTTTCATTACTTTTAATTGCGCTATTCAAATGAAAAACTTATCTTAGAAAAACTATCATTTAAAAAAAGATGAGGTTAAAAAAGCGATCAATGAGAAAATTTTCATTTTATCTTTTTTTGCATCCATTGAAATTTAAAATATTATTCAAACTGCAATGTTAACTATTTATTAAAGATTGATTCATAAATTTTAATTCGTTTCTGATTATCGAATATTTGACTAGTTCAGATAACAAATAGATTGAAAAATAAAAATATTCGAAGGACGAAATTTTCTTCTAAGTTGACTTTTTTCAACCAGAAAAAATCTATTTGTGAAAGAAAAACTTTTCAATATTAATCAATCTAATGTATTAAGAGAAAGCAAAAATTACTTTATTTAATTAAACAACTTGTTTTTGAATAACATTTCTTTATCAATATATGAGATTTTACAGAATAAAAACAGAAAAGATTTTTTTTCCTATGCATGATAACGCGTATTTTACGTAAAAATTCTTCGTAATCTTGCTCTAAATTAACATTTCATAAATAAAGTTCGAAGAAAACAAAATGACTTTGTTTAAATAAAATAATATGATAAGAATATATTTTCTGAATGTTATCTATAGTCGCTATATATAATTAATCAGAATTCTGATCAAAATTCTGCTTTGAAAACAGAATTCTAAGCAGAATTTTGCTTTTGATAGTGAAGAATATCACAGAATTCTCGAATTCTGCTTGTTGAGAATTCTGCACTGCTGACTTTTGAAGGTAAAAACTATCGTCTGCAAGCTTTTACTAATGTGGAAGATTCTCTCCGAGCTTTTGAGAACAATCAAGACGAATGCATCTTCTTCATTACTTCTGGAGAACTTGGAAGAGTTATCGTACCTCAAAGTATCGAGCGCTATACACTATTCTGAATGCTTCCTCTTCACTTAGACGTTGATATCTACAAATAAAAAGAAAAGTTGCAAAGAAGAAAATAAACAAATGCACGTCAATATGTATATATTTATGTGTGTTGTGCTCCAGCAACGGAAAAATCTATCCAAATTAAACGTATCGAGCAAAGAATGATAAAAAGAAAAAATAAGACATTTTAGTAGCATAAATAGGAAGAAAAGAAAAACAAGGTAGAAGTAATATATTAAAAAAAGTTAGATGTCTTCAATAAGTCGTTTGATTGCTGCGTCTACATCTCCCATTGTTGCCATAAGTGCTTAAAAAAAATAAAAGAAAAACAAAAATTAATTAAAACAAAAAAATGAATTGATTTACCTCGTAAATTTTCTTCACAGTTTATAAAACCAAGCGAAACAAGTTGTTCTAATTGAGCAGCATAACGTTGATCCAGTGATGTATTATATAAGATAAAAATCAAAGAAATAATATATTTTTTTTAAATAATATAAACATACAATATTTTGATTTGGCATCATATTCAATATTTGTGCAAATACATGTGCATAATTATTTGGATCAGTTGAAGATGGTGTACTAGCAGTACCTGCTGTTGATGATGGAGTTTGACCGGTTGTTGTTATAGATGTAGATGAAGTCAAAGGAGAATTTGTTGAACCACTGGTAGCAGCAACTGGTGAAGCTAAACCAGTTGGAATAAATCGAAGACCAGCAACCAAACCACCACTAAATAAATACAAACGAAAAATGAAAATATTTTATCAATAAATTTACGCTTGAAAAAGATTAGGCGCTGCTATATGTAAACGTTGAAGTCCTATATGTAAACATTGAAGTCCTAAATATAAAACAATAAATTAATTTTCTATTTTACATCATTGATCTAACCTTTTTGAATTTGTATTATTGCTGTACGTGCTTTACGATTTTGCATTAATGATTGTACTTCAGAATTTCTCATTTGTTCAATCGCAGCTGGTAATGCATTTATCATTTGTTCACGTAATTCAGGATTATTAGCAAATATTGGACTATTAGCAACAATTTGTCGTAACATATCGAAATTAGCAGCACGTGCATTCATTGATGGTTGTATATATGGAGCAATTAGAACACCTTCAAGTAAACGAGCATTTTGAACTAATTGGGACATATAATTTGGCATCATTGGATATATTAAACCAGGTGAACTACCAGCAGTACCTATTGGATTTGCTGATGCTGTTTGTTGTTGACGGTAAACTAGTACAGCAGCAGATGTTGTACCAGTACCACGTGATGCAGTTGTATTTCCTATTACAAAAAATAAATATAATAGAAAAATAAATAAAAAAGCTTGCTAGCGCAGCCCCTTTAGGGCCAAAATGTGGAACTCACATATGATTTTTCACCTAATTTACTTATACATATCGTGTGGTGCGAAATTTGCTGCAAGAAAATCGATCGGTAGAAAAAGTCTTATTTAGTTTCTACATGCTTGCCGATATCTGTAATGCAAGGTAGTATCTGTAAGTGAGTGTAAGGGGGGTGTAAGGGGGTG